GGCTCTCCCAGGACAAGTCGATTCCTGCCTGAGAACAGCACAACTGTGAGAAGAGAACCCTTTAGCTGTTTGAGAGCAAGTGAGCTTGGATCCTTTGGGAGCCACTGATATTTAACAAATGTTGCTATATGTCCAGCTGAATCGCCAGGAGCCTGTGAGGCCCTCACACACTGCAAATTACTAGTGCAGTGGGAATATATGCACCATTAACAAAAGTTCTCTACTTTTAAAATGATACATTTTCCCGGACAGAGTGGCGCCCAGCCTCTCCTGTCCCAGAAGTCCTTGTTTGCATGTAATCAACCTGGAAAGCAAAGGATAATCCAGGAACCCAAGCTAGATTAGATAAACTTCGGTTCTCACTTCTCAGGGTGTACTAACGACTACCAGCTTTTCATCAGAATGAATCCTATGAGACTAGCTGACCATTGGCTTCCCTCTCCTTCCTGTGAACCAGCTTCCTTCAAACTTGCTGTCTCTTCTTTGAGCACTAGGATCCAAACAGATCCTAGGAGGATCCCTGCCCTTGACCCAGCCCCTAATTTTAGCTATGGTGCCAGAGACAGAGAAGGGCCCTCAGGTTCTTGCCATTAGAGTAGCTTTGGGGACTCATGACCGTGCCACCCACATTGTGATAGTTTGTATATGCCCAGCCCAGGAAGTGGCACTATTAGAGGGTGTGGACCTGCTGGAGTAGGTGTAGCTTTGTTGAAGTAGATGTGTCACTGTGGGTGTGGGCTTTAAGACCCTCATCCTAGGTCCCTGAAGTCAATATTCTACTAGCCGCCTTCAGATGAAGATGTAGAACTCTCAGCTTCTCCTGCACCATCTGCCTGCACACTGCCGTGCCTCCCGCCTTAATGATAATAGACTGAACCTCTGAACCTGTAAGCCAGCCCCAGTGAAATGTTGTCTTAGAGTTGCCTTGGTCAGGGTGTCTGCTCACAGCAGTAAAAGCCTAACTAAGACACAAACATTACATTCACAATGCTCTAACACAGCCAGGCCAGTCTCAGGTCCCGGAGCTTAAACACTGCACACAGGACAGACAGAGCTCAAAAGAGAAAAATCACCCAAGCCAATTCTGGACCCCCAAGGTTGGGCATGAGAATGTGGCTGGCTTTTGAGACAGACAAATCTTTGGCATTTGTAAGGAAATGCCACACTGTGCTCCGTTCAGGTCTTTGGGGGCCTATTTCATGTTTTCAGTATGATGTGTCTCCCATTTGCAATCATTTTCAAGTAGCAAGAATCTAGATGAGCTAAGGGACAATTGTCACTGGTTTCAGCTGGGGAACACCAGCACCAAATCAAGCTGTGCCACCTCTGGTCGGTCCATGCTGAGGGGGCCTGGGTTTCCTGACCTTTGGCCCAGATAGCCCTGTGTATTACACAGGAAGCCCTATTGGCCGCCTGCTTTTGCCCATTTTCTTGTGCTGAATGAATGGGCTAGTGGTTCTTTGGCACCTGTATATCTTCACTGAGACAGTGAGGAAGGCAAGTGACTGTTCCCTTCCTGTGGTCCTGGGGGTTGTTGTGGAGTTAAATGGAGGGCCCACTGAGTGTGGTTGGGCTGAATAAAATGGGAACTGTACTTTTGTAATGATGTAGATAATAAGGGTGAGGAGGAAGGGGAGGAGGAAGGGGAGGAGGAAGGTTACAGTGATAACAACGATGCTGACCATAACGTAGATGAGGAGGGGGTGGGGAGGAGGAGGAGGAGAAGGAGGAGGAGGAGGAGGAAGGTTATAGTGATAACAATGGAGGTGAGCATGACAGGTAAAACCCAAGGTTTCCTGAGAGGACCAAGAAGTAGTCTCCATTTGCCTAATAAGCAAGACCCTGCTGAATGCAGAGTCTGCCATGAACTGAGACCTCATGAGAGACCTTGTTTCAAGGACAGGATTTGTTCTTGGTGGACTACCACAGGGCAAGGGAGCCTGGGACAGATGCGAGAGGCTGGTCATAGCTCTGAGAACATGCCTGTCCTGGTGACAGTATCTCCTGGCAACTGGTATATACCCCAGAATCTTCCCAAGGCTCACAGCCATGAATCTCATCCTTCCTTCACAGTGAGAAAGGCAAGACACCAGGAGCTTCAAGAAGTAGACAGAGTCTGTGCTCTGGGAACACAAAATGTCGTAGGGCAGATATCTTACAACGAAGAAGACCAGAGGAGACAAGGCCACAATCCACAAGTTAGTCCCAGGCCGAGCACACCATGACAGCAGGATTCTGGGTAACTTCCACTGTCATCAAGTCTGGAGCACTTTCTGTTTGTAGTTAGACATCCCTTCCAAACATGGTCTCCATTCCTGCCATGGAACGAGCTCCTCTGATTCCTGCCTGCAGCTACACTCAGCTCAGCTCAGCAAGGCAAGTAGAAGCCACAACAAAGTCACAAACCATGGTGTGTGTGTGTGTGTGTGTGTGTGTGTGTGTGTGATTTCATATGTGTGAATACAGACCCGCACATGCCATGGTCCATGGTCCATGCATATAGAGGTCAGACGACAACCTTGGGTGCTAGCTAACACCCTTCACCTTGAGATGGGATGTCTTGCACGCCAGGCTCAGCTTCCCCACTTGTCATAAGCACTAGGAGTACAAACAAAGGCAACTGGGTCCAGCTTTACCTGGGACCTGGTAGTCTGAACTCAGGTCCTGCTGCCTGCACAGCAAGCCCTTTACTTACCACTGAGCCACCCACTCTGTGCACAAATCACAGTTTGGGAGATTTGTTTTTACACTTGTCCTTAGTCTTTTTTTCTGTCTTGTTCAACAACTCTCACCTGATTACTAAAGAGACCTGTCAGTCCATCCCTGCTGTTTCTCATGGTGAGAGGCCATTAGCTGTCAGAATCCACAAGACTGCCTGACCTCTCTCTACATGACAGATCAAAATCAATGCCTAAAACAAAACACAGCGCCACCAAGCCACAATCCCCAGCAATGCTCACATGAGGTTGAAGACACAGAACCCAGAGATAAGGTCATAGCTGTGACCTGCGTACGTGTGACATGGAAACCCATGTAAGTGTGCTCGGCCCACAGGCATACTGTGTCACCATTCTTGAGCCCATGACGTGGCATTTTTCTGGTTACTTGAAGAGCTTACTCACCAAGAACGCCAGACCAACCAGGAGTGGTAGACTGTCTCTCCTTTGGATGTCCCTGAGCTACCACTATTATTCTTAGCCTTAGGACCTTAGGACGACTGCTCTCTGGCTCGAATGTCAATCACTTTCTGCAAAAGTCCTGTAGCCAACTACAAACCTGCCAACTATGTGCCTTCAGAGTACTGGAAATAAAGTGGACCACATAGAAGTAATAGTGCTGGAGTCCTGCCTCCATCCCTTCCCTGAGCTCTCAGCAGGTGCTAACTCCTTGGGACCTTTAGTCTGAGGTAGACAAACAAGAGTCTAGAAGTCCAAGGTCTCCAGAAGTGGGTCAAGGGGGCCTAGGGCCCATTGGCCCTGCTTCAGAGCCTCCCTTCTAATCCTTTAATCTTGCTATCCAAGTTTTGTGGCTTCAGGGTGTGGCCCCTGAGAGCTGGGACCCACCCACAGTTATCAAAACACAGATAAACAATCTTCGGGCAGAGCAGAAGAACTAGCAGGGGGAAGATTCAAACCTTGTATTGACCTGCGAAGCCTTTGGCAACTCCGTGGGTTCCATATGCAGAACTGCTCTAGGAATTTCTCTCGCAGGTGTTTGGAGGCTTTCCATCTCTGAAGCTTGCGTTCTGATTTACTTAAGCCAATGTAGTGCCTGTCTCTTGTGGAAGGCAGCTTCAAAGTTCATATCTCACCCGATTCTCCCAATCATCAAGGTGTGAACTGTTTCAAAGGGTGGGGTGCCATTGTGGCTCTAGACCACCCTAGTCCTTCCTACACTGCAGAGTTTTCATTTAACAAACTCAGTCAGTGGCAGGACCCAAAACTATTAGCATCAGCTCAAGCATGCTGAGAAAGCCAAACACAGTATTCCTGACTAGGGGACAACCAAGGGACCTCTCAGGTACATTACAGGAGACAGGAGAAAGCTGAACATGTGTGACTATACTCTTCACAGAGGCCAGCCAATGCTGATATCAAGCAAAGACCAAGTTCCCTCCTGGGCCAAGCCAGCGAGCTCCTGTTCTGCTCAGGGCGGTTGGAGCTGCTCTGAGGGCTCATTCAGTTAGGATGCTGACTCATACTTAACGCGGGAAGCCCCACACACCCTAGTGAGTTGCTCAGAACAGGCTCCTATCTTCCCTGCAGCCTGTGATGGTGCTTTTTAAGCAAATGACCGCTTTTTAGATTTACTTTGAAAGCAGCATAGCAGTGACTGTAATTGTTTATTTGACAGTAAAGATATGCTCATAAGAATAGCAGTAACTCAGCCCACTCCATTCCCTTATCTTCCACCATGCCCCTCCTGGTCCCCAGACTGCGGCTTTTCTTTTCGCTTTTGAACACATCTTCTACCTGGAGCGTTAAGGGGAAGCAAGGTATGTAAAATACAGTCCTGAAGCCATTTGCACGTGTTCAGAGAAAAGCCAAAATTCTGCCATATTTCTTGCTCTGAAGCTGGACAGCTCAGGCTCAGCTGCCTGAGTAAGAGGCAAGAAGCTGCCCAGGGGGCTGGCTCTTCCTTCTGCTTCTCAGGAGCAGAAGCTAGTCTAACCTCAGTGCCCAGTTAGCACAAACTCACCCACCTCCATCTCTGACCTTCACTTTGGCTTCTAGCTAGGAATCTGAGGTGGCTTCCTTCCCAGGCAAGTCTCACGCTCTCCTCTGAGACAACATAATACACAGCCACCATCCACAATGCACAGCTCAGAAACTTCCTCCAAGAGACCCACAGACACAGCAGAGGTAGGCTAGAGGCAGAGGGAGCCACTTTTCTGACCTCAGAAAACCTTCAAAGTCTGGGAGAAGCAGTGTCTACACCAGGACACAGCAGCTGCCACAGCTCAGAGGCGCACGAAGACATCATTGACAGAAAGTACTCACCAGGGAGAAGCTGGTAGACGGTCCGCCTTCCCAGCCACTATGCTGTGAAGATCCCAAGGTATGCGCAGCTTGCCTGGAAAGTCACTTTGAAACTTAGAAAGCAGCCACTGTAAAGTCACCCAGTCCCCTCATTCTCAGAGATGTCCACATGATTAGGAAAAAAAAAAAAGACAAGAAAAGAAAAAAGCGCAAAGCACACACCTCAGTCTTCATTGTCACTGGAACCAGATGACTCATGCTGACTCAGAGCGACCACTTCCTCTCCCGACATTCTCTTCATACTTGTGAGCCCGGCTGGTCTGGTTCCCAGGGTCTCTACCACCCTTCCGGAAAGAGCAGCTTCCCAGACCCTGGGAGCTCCAGGGTGATCCAGGGTGATCCAGGCTTGTAGCCAGCGATCACCCTCATCAGGGAGGAGATGCTTTGGTTAGGAGACTTAGGGACAACCGAGAATAAAAGGCAGAGACCCCACATGTATTTGAGTGTCACTGTAACACGTTGGCAGCCCACGGAAGAGGGAAGCATCCATTTTTGCTATTTCCTTAAGGCATCTGAGTTTGCTTTGCCCTGAGAGCCCCCGTTTCAGTCCATGCTTTTCGTTATGCACAGAGTTTTGATCTAAAATCATCATCAGAGAGTTTTGATCTAAAATCATCATCTATTCTGAACTGACTGTTAGTGTGTGTGACGTAGTCTTGCAGGCTTCAGTGATAGGCTAGATCACAAGAATAAAAGTGCCCAGGAGTAAAAACAAAGTTATGGCTCTCTAACTTTGAAAGGCTATTGAACGGTTCCGTGCAAGAACCAAGAGCCCGCCTCTGTGTCTGAGTTTTCTTTTGAATGATGCAGAGGGCGGGGCTGTCTTCCGCAGCTTCAAGCATTTTTAAATTATGAGAAGTACTCCAGAGAAAGCGGAACCCATGTACCACTGAGCAGCCTCTGGTGATTGTTGATATCTCTATGCTCTGTCCCCCCCACCCCCCCAAAAAAGGCAGACTTTTAAAACATGCATTCCAGCATATCTGAGAATTCTTAACAGCGTATGTAAGAGTAGATATATGTGTCAGAGACTCTCTTAAACAGGTTAGGGGAAAGCTAACAGTACAGGCAGGGAGGAGAAGGAATTTGGGGACACTGAGGCAGGGGAAGAAACCCATCCACTCATAGGTCGAGACTCCTGTGAGGGTCAAATGACACTTTCACAGGCGACAACTGAGACCGTTGGAACTCACAGATATTTATATTACAATTCATAACAGTAGCAAAATTACTGTTCTGGAGTAGCAATGGAAATAATCTTACAGTTGGGGCTCCCCGCAACATGAGGAACTGTGTGTGAGGAGTAGCAGGATTAGGAAGGCTGAGAGCCTCTGGCTCCAAAGAGATGGACTATGTGGCCTTGGCAGCAACTTGCAAATACATTGTCCTCCAAAGCCTCTAGACACCAGTCCAGCCCCTCCGGGACGCCGTGCTGTTTGAGCAGGCTATCTGATACAGTCTGCCCAGACTTTCAGAGAACAGCAACATGTGGGAGAGGAAGGGTTTTCAATACAAACCACTCAATCTGGGCAATTGGTTATGTACCATTAGAAGACCGATATGCAACAATAGTTCTGTCCTCTTCGGACTGCATGAAAATGAAAAGCTAACTCCAGGGTCTGCAACTGTAGTGAGTATCTCTGTTCTCTTACACCACTGAGCAGGTCAAAGGTGCCGATGTGTGTGGTTTGTTGTTGAAAGTTTTCCTATGGGTATAGTATTTGAGTCACGGGCCACAATCAAAAGTCTACAGCTCAAATAGGTGAGTTGCACACTAAATAGATAACCTCTTTTTAAAATTCAGAGCCTATGAGTAAAATGCATGATCATAAACCGTTATTTAATAATGCAGACAGCAGGGAAGACAACATCAGCGTACTGAGAGCAAAGGACAGGAAGTGTGGGGTTCAGTCATTCACAGAGAATCAACAAATGTGCTCCAGATGCCAGGCTCTGGGGCTGAGCCTTGGGAAACAGCAGGGGTTGGGGTGGGGAGGCCCCTGTGCTCAGGAAGCTAATATTCTCAAGGGATAGGACAGAAAATAAGCACACAGGAAGAACTTGGGGTCATGACGTGAACGGTGTGAGCATTGCTAGCTAGTAAAGTGCAAAGGCAGTGAGAAGAGTGGTCTGCTGAGACAGGCCTGGAGCTGAGGAGGGAGGGAAGGAAGGGGCTGGGATTCTGTGCCCAGTGTAATAAGAAAGCGTGGGGCGGGCTGGATTAAACAAGAGTGGAGTGATCTGATTGGAATTTTCCAAGGACAACACTTACTGAAAGCGGAGCACACAGGAGTCTGGTCAGCTCCACTCTGGGTCTGATGATAGTGATGTAATCCAAGCAATATGTGCCAGTGGGGTGGGATGGGTTGGGTAGCCCAGTGGTAGGTACAGATTAATCCAACAGAACTATTGGATTTTAGGGTTGAACAGCAGAGTAGTGCCACCTGCTAAGATGTGGGGGTTGAGGGAGGAGACAGTCCAAGTGAGGAAGACATCAAGAACACGGGCTGTGCTTCAGCTGCCGTTTGGCTTTGCCTGTCAGACATCATGTGGAGATGCTTATAAAGATGTTGATAGGTTTTAAATGCTGGGAGTAGGTTTGTATCTAAGATTTCAGAGGTAGTGATCTAAAGGTGAAGCCCACGGCCTGGCCTGGATGAGAGAGATGCACAGAGATGAAAGATGAGCGAGGCGGTTTGGACCCTTGGCCATTGAGCCTGGAGGAGAACCAAGAAAGCTGGGGCTCACAGCCAAGGGCTGGAGGGTTCAGGACGGCAGAAGAGGCTGACTGGCTAGGACGCCAGAGAGTTCCCGTCAGACAGAAACAGGGCAGGGCATGCTGGCCAAGGCACAGGAGGCCAGGGTGACCAGGTACGTGTCCTGGCAGCCTCTGTGACCCTAGACACAGCTTGGCAGTAAGTAGCTGGGAACAGGGTGAGCTCAGCCAAGAGAGGGAGCCACACCTACAGGCAACACCCTCCAACAGAGCATCAAGGAAATGGATACGTGGCACTTTGAGGAACAATGCCATCCAATTGAAAGGCAGAAGCTAGTCATGCCTATAATCCCAGTTCTCAAGACAGAAAGGCCAGAGGATTGTGAGTTCAAGGTCAGGCTAGACTACATAGTGAGATTCTTAATCAAATCCCCCATCACTGGATTTGGATGTTGTGGCTGCCTGTGCCGACGTGTTGGCCTGTGGATGGACAGGATATGAGGTACAGAGTTAGGAGCTCACTATCATCCAGGGTGTCATCCACTAGTCAGTGTTACATGCTTCTCTTTAGCCCTGCAGACACCATAGCTATGGTCTGAGGTTACCGTTCAGATCAGGCATCTCTGGTTCATCGAAGACAGACTGTACTTTTGAAACAGGAAAAATGTAAAGTAACACTGTTTCTAAGAGCCAGGGCAATTGCAATTCTTATTTGGGACTGACAGATAAGCATGTGAACTGCTTCTTTCAGTTATAACCAACATCTCTTAATGTCTTCCTGTGATGTGATATAAGTACCAAGTTGTATAAGCCAATCTGTCAAAACAATATTTTTTTTTCGAGACAGGGTTTCTCTGTGTAGCCCTTGCTGTCCTGTAACTCACTCTGTAGACCAGGCTGGCCTCGAACTCAGAAATCCACCTGCCTCTGCCTCCGAAGTGCTGGGATTAAAGGCGTGTGCCACCACTGCCCGGCTAGAACAATTTTTTTTTTAAAACATCTAAAAACTCCTTGGTCCAATGCAGACTGCTGTGAGATGGGATGGAACCTCTTCTCTGAGACAGCAGCATCTTGACCTCTAGATGAGTCCTTCTGTTTATAGCAGTATTAGCCTAATTTCCAGTACTCATTGTTTATAATGGCCCTAATGACTCCCTTAAATGTACCTCAAAGACATACTTATCTCAAGAACTCTGTGTCAATTTTAACTGGACTGAGAGGAAATCACACTTGCTGAGGGTGGTTGGCAGATGGTTGGATTCCATCTTATCTGAATTTGCCAAATTCATTCATATTAATCTCTGGCAGCTTTGAATGGAAACTGTGAGTTTCAGCCTATATAAGCAAGGCCACTCTGCCTCCAGGCCTGAGAGGAGGTTCCTGTGGGAAGCACTGTGGGCCCTGAGGGTCACTCCTCCCCTTCCCCACCCAGGCCCTGCTTTCCAGGCCTTGAAGCCTCCATTCAGTCTCCCTGCTTACCCCCAAACCCCCACCCAGGCTCTACTGCCTTCTCCGAAGGGCTTCTTTCACTTTTGCAGTGACCCAAAGCCACAGCTCTGAGGAGACCACTCTCTGGCTTTCACATTTGCACAGCATCTTGAGTCTAGGTGGGGTGGAGGCAGAAGGATTCTTGAATCCAAGAGACTACAATTTTAAACTGGTTTCCCAATAGAGTGACCTTGAACAAGTGCCTGTCCTGAGATCTCGTGCCCTCAGGACATGTAAACTGTGAAGTCTCCCAAGAATGCCCTCACCCAGCGTTTGGATTAAATGAAGGGGCCCAGGTTAGTGGTTGGAAAGGAGGTCCCTTAGTCAGAACCAGCAAATGTAGGCCTTTACTGTGGATATGTAACATTCTCGTTGAATAACACTCTTCCTGGGTGCCTCCCCTTCCTGTCTCCCTCCTGTGTCTCTTACTCCAAACCACCTAGTATTAGGTCAGCCTGCCCATGACTGAACAAAAGCAGTGATGAAGTTAGAGAGAAGTCTGGCATTGGCCCTGTGGGTGGTGGGGCAGCCCCGGGCTATCACTAGGATACGATCAGATCAGGCACTTGTCTTTCTGATCTACCATCTGGAACTTGCCTTTCCCCAGATGACTCCACAGACCAAATTGGCTGCTGAAACTTCAGCCAACAAATCTATATTCTTCATCTTGACAGTAGGAGGAGGTGAGGTTCTGTAGTCTCCCTATTAGGAAAGAGGAGAAAAGTGAGGGAGGTCCAAAAAAATTATATGTAGTGTACGTAACACCCACTCCTATCCCCACTGCCATGGAGCTTTGCTGAAGTCGCTACCTGGTAAGCTTCTCCAAGTACGGAAGTAGATTTTGTGGTCTCTCCTAGCTGATAAATGTAGTCTTGTCTCTGGGCTGAGATATAATAGGGCTTTCAGGCAAGCAGGACAGAAAGAAACTATATCTATTCCTAACCAGCAGAATTAGCTATGGCCTGGGGAACCAGGGTGGCCGTCAGTGCCCTTCCATGGGATCTGCTGCAGAAGGTTATGAAAGAGGTAATCCATGTTCCGTACGGACCACGGGTGAAGGCACAC